TTTTTTTTTTTTCACTAATCTTTTAGCATTTTTTGGGAAAAAAAAAATCTGAAAATTTGATTGTAATACCAAGAAATTACTGCTGAATGAAATGCTCACTATTCTTAGTTTGTTTGTAATTAACACGGTAAACACTTGAATGAGAGTTTGTTGTTAACAGGCTGAAACACCTCTGTTTTGCCAGTAAACAGAATAAATAATTACAGTTTGTTTAGCTAACAAAAATCAACTCTATCAACCTGTTAATAACCGCCTGCCAATTGTCATATAATTTTTGAATTCCTGTATGCTATACGGAAGTTCTGGTATCTTTGTACTGTTTATAAAATTTTTTCAATCATTCTGATTTATATAATGCTGCAGTGTACGTTTCACATGTTGTTTTTTTTTTTTTTAATAATATTTCTGAATAAATACTGGCAAAAACACTGCAATGAAGCAGTAAAAAACTGTAACTTTCTAAGCTGTCGCCACTAAGAGTTAAAGAGCACCAAAAACCAACCAAGAGTTTCAATTGTCATCACAGGAAATTCCTTTTTTTTTCTTATCACCAAACACCTATCAAGTTCAACTATTACCTAGACGTATTTTGAAGTATTCCGAGATATAAAATTAAGATGTAAGATAATCAACGATGAAAGACTGTCTTAATACAAGGCTTATTGCAGAACTTTGTCATTGGAAAAGCAAAATCTTTTTCAGCCGACAAGGAACATGTAAAATTTTGAAAAGTGCTCATCTCGCTTTTAGGAAAAAAATATGATTTTCTTTTTTTCAAAATTCTGCTAACATATACGCCTGTTTCAAAAAGTTATCCTCTGATAACTGGCGAAGTAGCTAATTGTTTACCTCTGCTCATCTCATTTTCTAAGCTTGGCTCCTTCTTTTGTTTACCACTTATTTCTTTATTCATTTTACCATTTTATATGAAAAATTAGCAGTTTTACAAAATGTATAAACATAAAAGAGAAAGAAAAATGAATGACAGCTTCATGAAGTTTTAACCAAAAAATATAACTTCATAACGGCAGCGTTAGAATTTCTCACCGAACCAAAAAAATACTAGTCCTTTCTTTCCCATTACAACAAAGGAACCTCAGCTTTATTGTGCCGACAAATATCTCAAATTTCCATCTGATAAAATTGTCACTGAGCAACTGAAGAGGTACTTGCTCCATTCCCATAGTTATTCTCATGCTTTTTTTTCTCCTTTTGATAATTTTATTTTTTTTTTTCTTAAATTGTTCAAAAAAGAAAAGTGAAAATATGATTGTCCAAAACAATCATTAGAAAGTGGACTTTAACTGCAACTTTTTTGTCCTCCCAGTGATTCTGTTCCTTAATAAAGAGGAAATTTTTGTGCCACTCAAGCTTTTATAAAGTTTAACTTCCGCTGAAGTAAAGGCAGATCTGTTGTTTACTGAACTAGCAAACGCAGAAATGCAAAACGCTCATCGTCAAAAAGAAATTACAGTTCCAAAAATTTTGTTCCTAATTTACCATAGTTGTTGGAGATCAGTTTTTACTCTGAAAGCTGAAGACGAAAAAAATAACAAAACAAATTTACTAATCTTTAAAAGAAAACAATTGTCAGATTCTGTACTCTTTATTGATAAGAATAATCCTTCAAAAATATGAGCTTGAGAATTTAAATTATCCAGGGCAGCTACAGCTAGACCACTCTTTGGTTGCTAGAACCATCGTGTACTATAGACTGGGTTTCCGGTGTCAGCGTTCTGTTTACCTGGTTGATCAAATGTAAGGTATCGAAAATAAATGTTCACAAATCCTTCTTTCAGTTTTGGTGATAAACCATTGAATTTTTCAGTAACACAAACCTTTGACTTTAAAAAAATTGTCGACAACAACAGAATTTAAATAAATTTTGCAAGGTATCCATTTTCCGTTTGAAATTAGAACTGAAATTTGAACATATCTTTCAGCAAAATAGAAAACGCAGTGAAAATGGATAAAGTAAGTAAACAATTTTCTGGCTTCAAGTTCATTTGACTTCTGCATGTAAATTCAGCTATAAGTTTCCTTAGCCAACTTCTTCGGCTTGCTTTCTCTGTTAGTTTTGACTTATGCCTTTGCAAAAACTGTATTTTAACAGCAGAAATTTTTGCAGCAGTTACACCTCACTTTTTTCAGAGAATTTCATGAGCTTTGCATATTTCGCAGTAGCTTCAGTGGTAAGAACTCCTTGTTATTTAACAGATGGATAAGGTAGCATCAAGAATTTGAAACCTTTGAAACTGGACAAATCTGTACACTAGTATCTTGCAGATATTCATTAGACACGGAGAGAAAAATGAAGCTATAGAAGCGATTTTTTTTTTCTGAACTCTGTTTTTGTCGACAGCTTTTTTAGAGATAGTTACAGGTTTAATTGGTATATCAAAGTTTTCACAGTTCTGGCAACTTCCCAAAACGACGCAGCCCTTCAGTGCCCGGTGTAGTGCTTCTCGAGTGATGCGATATCGCTTCACTTGAGCAACGGAGGGTGTTGCGGAGAAGGGATCCAGGTACTAAAGTACAATACAGTCTATGGATGGTCGTTAATTAGATTGAAGAATGACCCCGACAGTTGCAATAGGCTATAAAAATGGTTTTAAGAAAACGAATAATGCGATTTTTAAAAATGTCCTGTCTTTTTTGTAAAAGTTTTGGTAATAGCAGGTCACGTATATGATTCTTCTTCACGTTTGATTCAAGAAAGTCAAAGGCAGGTGTAGAAGCTGAAATGGACGACAGAGGACGAAAATAGCCCTGTAAAAGAGGCTGCAAAATCTTTCTTCCTGAAGAAGACAACACGCCAAAAAAACCACCTACTACCACTGGCAAAACCCCAACGCGAAACAAAAGTTCGCGAGTGATGATTGACTGTTATAGGAAGTCGCCAAAACTGTGAAAACTTTTTAATATTTTCAATTCTTTTAACTTTCCCTTCGTGGCTTTACTTTGTTAGTAATAAAGTTAGTACAGTTTGTGAGGAGCCTTGGACTCTTTTATTTGTTTGTTTTTAAGGTAGGTTCAACTTTTGTTGACAAATTAAAGGAATCTCATTATGTCAAATATTAGAACTGTCATGTATGTAGACTGGGTTATTTGAAAATCTAGTGTTGCTCTTCTACAGTTTTACTTTTTTTTTCTTTCTTTCTTTCGCTGTATCCAACCTTGTTTTATCTATCTGCTAGTATTTCTGTCGTGAATGTAGTAAACGTCGGTATTTTTCATACCTGTACGGTCTTTTGCAGCTATCATACATTTATACGGTTTCTATACGTGGTCATTGCCCAGATTCAGAGAGGTCCAGGTGCAGCGTTTACATCATTAAAGTACTGATCTGTAGGCCGCTGGAAACACTGTGAATTGTTAATCATCTGTACCTGTGAGTTTAATTCTAAATGAAATTGTAAATTTTTGGTTCAAGGTGTGGTTTTCCGATTGTCGAATTTTTTTCGCTATTGCGTAACTTTTCATGGCTCTAGTACTGGAAGTCGAGGATATTATTCTCATTATGCAAGGACCTCTAAGAATTGTTTGCCTATTTGTTCTCAATCAAGCATGATTAAATTTTTTACTGGGGGAAAGTACTTGAGTCTGGTACTGTCTGATCGCACAGCTGGAAAGCGTGAGAATGGAGTAATGTCTTGTAATGAATGAATAAAATTTGGAGCTTCTTTTTTTACACTGACCAGTCGTCGAAGAGTGACGTACTTTCAGTCTTGGTTAAAGTTTTTAACCATTTTTAAAGTAGGTTTAGTTTTCTGTATTACCTGATTTCTGGTAAATGATGGAGTTACAGTGTGCCAGAAACTAATCATATTTGCTCTAAAGCAAAATTCATTTTTTACAACAGCGCTATGTGGGTTTAGGAAAATAGCAAGTTTCTATGAGAAATGACGCCTCTGAGACGTTTTAATGAAAACTAAATGGTCTTTTAAAAGACTTAAAAGATAAACAGTAATTTACGTTTGTTCACTTAAGTGGTAAATTATACGCATTATGATTTGAGTGATTTAGTGAAAGAGTGCTCTTCTGTGTGATATCCTCGTTTAGGAATAGTTTTTTATGAGCCAGATGCTTAGCCGTTTTATTCCTTTGATTTAGAGGGGGCAAATGGACAGAATAGTGATCAAGGAAGGCAGTTCTAGCTCAAGCTCAGAAAGCGAAGAAGAATCCACAAGTGGGAGTTCTGACGAAGGTATCTTACTTTTATAATTCTACATTGATTGCTGGGGAATCATTAAGGTTCAAAGTACTGAATGTTGAACTGTAATGATCTTCAAGCTTGCGCATCATAACATTTGAGACACTAGTTAAACAAAATTTATGCGAAATAAACTTTGACTTTTTCACCATTTTGCTATTTTTAAAAGGTTAACTGTGTGATATAAACAGTGTTTTTTTTGCTAGAGATGCCTAAGTTTACTCTTATTACATTTTAAATTTAACTTCTGTGATAGTCTCAAAGAATGAAGTTTTCTTGCTAGATTTTCAAGAATTACCAATCAAAAAGGAGGAAGAGGAACAAGAAGAAGAAGTTGTAGAATTTCCTGATGTTAAGCCTGAAAAACCAAAATCGGAAGAGGTGTCTTTTTTATTTTTTGGTATCCTGTTGAATCCTGTTGTAGCTGAAATTTTGAGAACTCGCTTCATCATTTTTCAGTCAAGTAAGAAAAAACTGAAGAAGAAAGCTGTGAACAAGAAGGAGTTAGACCGAATTGCGATGGTATTACCTGACGTTGTCGCTGATCGCCAAAGAGAACGAGCTTTGCTGAAAATAGCTACGAAGTGCATAAGTTGATTTTTTTTTCTGTAATTATACTGTGGGATCATTACAGCAGTTTTATACTGGTACTAATTTTGGAACTTTGTCTTGCTATTTTCTGGAAGTTATCGGTAAATAGCTTTGTTATTCAGTGTTCGCGTGTAAAAATAGTGTTATTTCTAAATTAAAAATTTTTTAGAGGTGTTGTTCAGCTGTTCAATGCTGTCTCTGATCGGCAGAAAGAATTAGAAAAGCAGTTGTCCAACAAAGGAAATACACTTGACAGATCGTCAAGAAAGAGGATTTTAGAACGGCTAGGACCGTCGGAATTTAAAAAACGGTTGAATGACATGGGAAAAATTAAGGTTTTTTGTTTTTAGTTATCATTTCGTGCGGTAGGTTTCGTTATTTATTCACAGTTTTTCAATTTAGAGTGGAATTAGAGTTATGGCATTCCAAAGAAAATTCTCAGTATGAAATTGTATCAGAGCATAAATTTTTAGGAAGAAACTCCAGTAGACGCTGAAAGTCCTTCGATAATGAATACCAGCACGGTCCCAACCTCTCCTAAAGTACAATTAGTTGTTCCAAAAGAAGAAGTAGAAAGTGAAGAAGATTGAGTCCATTGTCTTTGTTTTAAATTTTTGCCTCACAGTGGCACTTTTATTGTTATTATTATTGTTCTTGCTGTAATTAGACGGTTCATATTCATTGAGGGGGCATTGTTTGTTCTTAGATAAAGTAATAGATGAAAAAATAAATATATCAATTGCGAAGGATGTTGTTTTTCTTTTTTTTTCTGCATTAGTTAATTCCTTCAGACGATATAAATGATCCAACGAGAGAGCTTACGAATTAGGTAGTATGTGACTTGCTTTAGCAACAATGGTTTCTGGTACGTAGTTCAAGTGGCCGTTAAGCCACTTCCTTACTGAAATGTGCGGACTGCAAACAGTGGATTAAATGGAGACCGATGGCGATAACTAGGGAGAGACATATGGCGTGTGTTTGAAGTCGGAAAGTCCGTTGGAGTGGTTTCGAACGTCCAGTTGCGGTTGTCAGGCAGTTTTCCATTTGCAGAATATTTTCTTGAGCGATCGAATTTGATTATCCTTTA